TCGCGACTCACCCGGTCCAGTTGGCGGACGTGCCCCCACCGGAAACTGCGCAGGAAGGTGCCCAGGGTGGAGGGCGCCTTGACCACACTGCCCAGGGTGCAGGCTGTCCCGCCGGTGCGCAACACATCGGCGTCGTCAATGCAGTCGCCGCCCGCCAGCGCAGATGCCACCAGCGTCATCATCTTGTCGCCGGTGTTGGCTCGGCCTGGGGCCCGGCCCAGGTCCAAGTGCCGGTCAACCAGTTGGGGCAGGCCCAGGTGCAAGGCCAACGTGGCGGGAAGGATCAGCCCGGCATTGTTGACCAGGCGGTGGTCGTCGAAGGCGATGCGGATGCGGTCGGGTTGGTGGCGTGGTAGCATCTATTGGGTGCTCCTTGTTTCTGGTTGGTTTTCTATCTCGAAAACCATTATCCCAGATGCACAGGAGCACTTTCTTACCCATTCAACCCGCCGCGATACTCATCTTTTCGGTGGATTCGGGCTAAGCAACCGAAACCACTGCGTAATCTTGTTTGCAACTTTGCGCTTGCCAAATAGGAACATTCGTACTATATGACGAAGGCTGAGAGTCCAGCCCACGGCGCATCATGACCTCCAAACAGTATCATGAGATAAGAGACCCTATTACACGTCCACGACTTCGTCAGGCTGGACAGCGACGAAAGGCGTGTCCTCCTGAACTCAGGGCCTGTCCAAAGGCTGAGGCACATTCACCAGCTGGCTATGTCATACTTGGTCTATCCTGGAGCGACCCACAAGCGCTTCGAGCATAGCCTGGGCGTGATGGAGTTGGCGGGGAGAGTCTTTGATGTTGTCACAGCCGACCACAACATACATCCATCTGTTCGGGAAGTTGTCCCTGAGATTGCCAGAAGTGACAGCCTGCACTACTGGCGCAAGGTATTGAGGATGGCGGCCCTGTGCCACGACATAGGCCATCTTCCCTTTTCCCATGCTGCCGAGAAGGAGCTACTACCCAAGGGCTGGGACCACGAAAGAATCACTGCCGAGCTTATTCAAGGCGATGAGCTATGCGACATCTGGCAGTCTATGAGACCACCGCTGAATCCGCACGACGTCGCAAGGATATCCGTGGGCCCGGAGAAGATGCGAAATGTCAGCTTCACCAACTGGGAGGCCCTTTTGTCGGAGATCATCATCGGCGATGCGTTGGGAGTCGATCGAATGGACTATTTGCTCAGAGACTCGCATCACGCCGGGGTAGCTTATGGCAATTTCGATCATCACCGTCTGTTGGACACAATGCGAATACTACCCGATGCCAATGAGAATCAGAGGAACCGACTCTGGGAGTCGAAAGCGGCGGAATCCATTCCTCCGAAGCTCTACTCCTCGCGAGGTACTTCATGTTCGTCCAGGTCTATCACCACCACGTAAGGGTGGCCTACGATTTCCATCTGAAGCAATTCCTCCAAGCGTGGTTGTCAGACGGTCGCCTTTCGACAGATGCAAACGCACACCAGAAACTCACAGACAACGAGGTACTTGTCGAAATAGCAAGCGCATCTCATGACCCGTCATCTATCTGCCGCGAAGCTGCGGACAGAATTGTGAATCGAAAACACTTTCGACACCTGTATACTCCGACACGCGAGGACAAGACTGACTACGGAGACCCTCTCGCAGCCGTGTTCGAGGCTGTGGCGTCAAAATATGGCGAGGACAGGGTTCATAAGAGTGAGTACACCCAGCCTACGCCGGACTCAAAATTTCCAGTTCACGACCCGGAAGGTAATGTGGTATCTTCCCACGAGATTTCAAATGTTCTGCCCCATATCCCAATAGTGGACGTTGGTGTCATCCTTGTTGCTCCAGAGATAGTGGAGGACACATCGAAGTGGCCTCTGGTGGAGGAACAGGAGCGTACAGTCTGGGAATTCAGGAGCATGGGAGAGCCGTAACCATGGAGATATGAAGGAGAGGAACGTAGAGCTATGATATGCACTCTCGTCAAAGAGATGAGAAAGACAGACAGCTGGGCAGCCGAGACGCATATAGAAGTGCGTCTATTTTCTTCAAGCACTGCTCAACGTCCCCGTAGGATACGAGTACATACTTACAAGCACTGGTCCCTACAGCTTCGACCTTCGGCGCGAGCTGGCTGTAATGAGCTCGCTTCCAATTGGACGTAGAACCTCGATACCCCTATGGCCCGTCATTCACCTTAGGTACCCGAGGAGAATTGGGCCTTGACCTTGTGACTAGATACGACGCTGCTGTTGAATTTGTCGCCACGGAGATATCAACCAAAGCGGTAGGCGGTCTCGAACGACTCTCTACTGCGCTCTATGTACAGGTAGAGAGTCCTGATTTGACTGTCGGGCAGGCCGCGCAACGGATCAACAAACTAAAGCCTCACATCTCCACCACGGACGCAAGCGAGGCCATCAATGAAATCCGTAGGCTGCGAAAGAGTGCATGTGAGGTTTTCGATATAGACCATAGATAGCCGTTAAGCACTGCAGATTAAATGATCGTAGACGTTCACACCCACCTGCCTGACCCACGATGCCGCCGTGCCGGACGACGAGGTGGAGCTCGACACGGCGATGCGTCCAGGCCGGCAGGTGCGGCTGACCAACAGCGTCGAGGACTACCTTCGACGCTGATGGGGCCGGTCGACGCCGCGTTCGTGTTCGGCATCGCGCCGCGGCCGGGCGAGGACGCGGTGCAGGTGCTTCGAAACAGGGGCAACGTCAACGACGCGGCGGCATCACTGGCCGCGAGAGGCCCGACAAGATCATCGGGTTCATGTCGGTGCATCCCGACGAGCCGGACGCGATGGACGAAATCGAGCGCGCGATCCATGACTTGAAGCTGCGGGGAATGAAGCTGGGGCCAAACTATCAGGGCTTCGATCCTCTAGGGGCGAACGCCTTTCGTGTGTATGGCAAGTCGCAGGAGCTGGGACTGCCCCATCGTCTTCCATCAGGGCACATCGCCGTTCCCGGACGCGCCGCTACGGTACGCGCACCCGATGGTTATGGACGAGATCGCCGCGGAGTTTCGCGACCTCAAGGTCGTCATGGCGCACATGGCGCACCCGTGGCACGTCGACTGCGTGAACATCATTCGCAAGCACCCGAACGTCTACGCGGACGTGTCGGGAGCGCTGATCCGCCCGTGGCAGGCGTACCACGCCTTCATGCAGGCGTGCGAGTGGGGGATGCTCCACAAGCTCCTGTTCGCCAGCGACTTCCCGGTGACAACACCGGCCGAGACCATCGGCTTTCTGCGAGGCCTGAACGACTACGCCCGGAAGTATCACCTGCCGGAGTTGCCTGAAGACGAGCTGGAGTCGATCATCGAGCGCGACTCTCTGGAACTGTTGGGACTGCGCTGAAGGTGCAGGCGCACCAGCCGGATCTCGTCGTAGGAGTACCCCGTCGCCTAGGGCGTCCCTAATCTCCGACAGCCACGATGTCTCGGAGCGCTCGATCTCCTGTCTAATGCTGTCGAAGCGCTCAGGTTCCAGTTGGCGGCTCACGTCGATCCGCTCGCCGTGAGCGGCCAGCCGTTCGAGGTGGCCGATAACCGTACCAGGGCTGAGGCCGCGTTGGGTGGCGATCTCGTTTAAAGTCAGCCCTTGCCGGAGCAGTCCCAGCGTCTTCGCGTAGGTCGAGCCGGGCCTGCGGACGGAGCGTGACTTGCGTGGTTCAGATGTGCGTTCCCTCTCTTGGAGGCCGTGCTGCTCGGCGTACTCACGGATGTGTTTCACGAAGATCTCGCCATGCTCTTCGAGCTTGGTCGCGCCAACGCCTGTGATGCGGGAGAAGCTCTCCCCGCTTTGTGGCAGGAAGTAGGCCATCTGCATGAGCGATGCGTCCCCGAACACGACGTATGGCGGGACGCTCCGCTCTTCCGCGAGCTCCCGTCGGACGTTTCGGAGCAGCTCAAAGAGTCCTCGGTCGTAGTCTAGGTGGGAATCGGCCGACCTCTTTCGTTCGGGGGCGCTTTCTTTCTTTCTGGTGAGCCGCAGGGTCGCGCGGCTTTGGAGAAACTCACGGCCGGACGCCGTGACGGAGAGCGTCGGATATTCCCCTTTCTCCTTGGCGAGCAGCCCTTCATCCACTAGCTGTCGCGAGATGCTCGTGATCTCGTCTTTGGAGAAATCGCGGGCAATCCCGTAAACCGAGAGCTTATCGTGACCTGTTTCGATGACTCTCTTGGCGCGGGATCCGCGTAGAACGTCCGCTACGTAACTCACGCCAAACCGCTCTTCAGTGCGAATTACGGCAGAGAGTATCTTCTGCGTGATAATCGTAGCGTCGAATTCCTCCATATCGGCAAGGCAGACATCGCATCCCCCGCACTTGCCGTCCTCCAACTCCTCACCGAAGTAGAGCAGCAGATAAGCCCGCCGGCATCGGGTCAACTCGGAGTAATCGACCATACCGTCGAGCTTCCGCCGAGCGCGGCCCTGCTCTTCTTCGTCCTCCATCTGACCGATCCAATACTCTTGCTTCGATCTGTCGCCCGGCGAGTAGAAGAGCACGCAGTCGCTCGGCAGGCCGTCGCGCCCCTGCCCTGCCCGTCTCCTGGTAGTAGCCTTCGACGCTCTTGGGCATGTCGTAGTGGACGATGAGCGAACGTCGGGCTTGTCTATGCCCATGCCGAACGCGATGGTCGCGACGATGATCGGGGTCTCGTCCCTGATGAACCTCTCCTGGTTCGCGCGTCGGGTCGCGGGTCTAGTCCGGCGTGATACGGCAGCGCGTTGAGCCCCTCGTCTGCCAGGTCGGCGACCAATTCCTCTGTGCCCTTACGCGAGAAGCAGTAGATGATCGCCGACTCGCCCTTGTGTTTGCTGAGCAGCTTGAGCAGCTCGCCGAACCGGTCGCGCTTCGGGAGGACGGTGTAGGTCAGATTCTTGCGGTTGAAGCTGGAAAGGAACGTCTCGCCGCCGGGGATGTCGAGTTGGGAGATGATGTCTTCCCGGACGCGCTCGGTGCCGTCGCCGTGAGGGCGATGCAGGGCACGTCGGGGAAGCGAGCGCGGAGGGCCTTGAGGTTTCGGTAGTCGGGCCGGAAGTCGTGCCCCCACTCGGAGATGCAGTGGCGCCTCGTCGATGGCGATGAGGCTGACCGATACGGAGTCGAGGAACGACACGAAGCCGGGCACCGTCAGGCGCTCGGGCGCGACATAGAGTATTTTGATTCGCCCCATGAGCGCGGCGGTGTGGATGCTGCCGATCTCCGAGCTGGCAGGCTGCTGTTCACGAACGCGGCCGGAATGCCGTTCGCGCGAAGAGCGTCCACCTGGTCCTTCATGAGCGCGATGAGCGGCGAGACCACGAGCGTCAGCCCGTCGAGGCACAGAGCGGGCAGCTGGTAGCACAGCGACTTGCCGCCGCCCGTCGGCATGAGCACCAGGCAGTGGTCCTTGCCCAGCACGTGACGCACAATTTCTTCCTGCAGCGGCAGGAAGGACTCATACCCAAAACGGGACTTCAGCAGATCGAGGACTTGCGGAGGCAATGTTACTCAGCAGCCGTGGCGTTCACATCAAGGGAGCGTAACACAAGGTGGGAGGGAGGGGACGTTCTCTAGCTTGCGCTCGGCCGACTCGTGTGCAGCAGGTGGTCGACGTGGTGGGCCTCGCGACAGGTGGACGCCGTATGCTCCAATTGGATCGTGACGTGACCGATGCCGTACTGGTTATGGGCAATGTCCTGTATCTTGGTACGGAGCAGTTCATTGCCTCCCTCGTACGAGGGGTCGACGAGAACGTGCGCGGTAAAGGCCTCGCTTCCCGACGTTATGGTCCAGATGTGGACGTCGTGGATGAGGGTCACGCCTCAACGTCTTCAATGTCATTGCAGAGCTTATAGGCGTCGATGTGCTGGGGAGTCCCTTCGAGCAGCACGTTCGTTACCGTAAACATCAGTTTACGGCTGCTCCACAGGATGAGCAGGGCGATAAGGACGCTCAGGATCGGGTCGGCAAGAGTCCAGTCGAACGCCATGATGAGTATCGCGGAGATGATCACGCCGACGGAACCCATCAGGTCGGCCAAGACGTGCTGAAACGCGCCCTCGACGTTCATGCTGTGTTCGGAGGACCTGCGCAGCACCCACGCCGCGGCGATGCTTATCAAGAGGCCGCCGGTGCCGACAACAAGCACCGGTATGCCGTCAACATGGACCTCTTCCGTGAAAGCCCGATGGTATGCCTCGAAGAATATCCACCCTAGCGATCAGCCATAGCGCTATGGTGTTGAGCATGGCGGCCAGCACTTCGGTGCGCTCGTAACCGAACGTACGCTCGGCGGTCGCCGACCTCTCCGCCATCCACATGGCTGCGAGCGCCATGCCAATGGCGAGGGCGTCCGTGAGCATGTGTCCAGCGTCGGCTATGAGGGCCAGGCTGCCCGACAAGATTCCCCCAACGACCTCGGCCAGCATGTAGGTCGAGATTAGCGTTAGGGCAATGATGAGGTTGCGCCGACTCGCGCCCCTCAGGTCGTGGGCATGGTCGGTGGTCATGGCCGTCGTACTCGTGCTCGCCGCGCCCATGGCCGTGCTCGTCGTGGTCATGGCCCGCATGATCTTCGTGATCGTGGCCGTGATGATCGTGATGGTCGGAGCTGGTGCCACCGGATGGAGTCGAAAAGTAGATCCGAGTTCCTTCGGTTGCGGGGATCGGGCTCGGCGGCATGAATAGCGCGCGAATGCTCGTCGCAACGCTTCGGAACTCGTCATGAGAGTCCTCAAGTCTGCAGTACCTCCGACCACACGTTGCAATGGCCCAATCATACCCGAATGGGACGAAAGCGCGTGAAGCTTACTTCCCGCTTAGTTAGGAAGTCAAAAAGTGGGGTTTTGTCCGCTCTAAGTTATCGATGCTTTAGCACGGGAGCCATACATCAGTGTCACGTCCGCTTAGGACAACCTCGCCTTCGGTGAACACAAGGGCGACCAGCCCAAGGATCGAATAATCGCCCACTGCCAGCGGGACGACCTTGTTAAACCCCAAAGGAAATCCGGTCGACGTGGCGTACCTAACCAGCACGAAGCCGAGGACGCCGACAGTGGACTCTGGGATTACCCCGCAGGCCGCAACACAGTTTCCGTGACCATGTGGTAGAGTGATTGCCACGTACAGGCTTGAGGGGGCAGTAGGTTTGATAGATCTGGTTGGAATATCGAAGTACTACCAAGTCGGCACGGTTGAGGTGCGGGCTTTGGACGACGTGGAACTGCACGTGGCGGACGGCGAGTTCGTCGTGGTCCTCGGCCCTTCAGGGAGCGGCAAGACGACGCTTCTGAACATCATCGGCGCGCTGGACACGCCCACATCGGGAAGCGTGTCGGTGGGCGGACGCGATATCACCACCGCATCGCGCTCGGAGCTCTTCGCGCTGAGACGCGAGACCGTGAGCTTCATCTTCCAGAGCTTCAATCTGTTCCCCGGGCTCACCGCCTTGGAGAACGTCGAGTTCGGCGTGGACGTGGCCGGGAAGCGCGGCAGCATAGATCCCGATTCCGTGCTCGAGTCCGTCGGACTCGGCCATCGGACCGACCATTTCCCCCACGAGCTTTCCGGGGGCGAACAGCAGCGCGTCGCATTGCCAGGGCCTTGGCCACGGGGAACCCCGTTCTCTTAGCCGACGAGCCGACGGGAGAGCTCGACTTCAGACCGGGGCGCAGATACTGGAACTTCTGATTGCGCAGGCCGTCGCAGACCGCGCAGTGCTGGTAGTCACCCATAACAGGGAGATATCGCGCATCGCCGACAGGGTTGTCGAGATGAGCAGCGGACACATCATCAGCGACGGTCCGCCGGCGGGCGGCAAGACACCCCTCTCGGAACTGCATTGGTAGAGGTGGCGATATGTTGGCACTAAGGCTTCGCTGGGCGCTCCGAGACGCCAAAGCCCGCTGGGTCCAGGTCGTGGGCATCGCCCTTATGATCGCCATCGGCACCGGCATGTTCGCCGGCCTGAGCAGCTTCACCCTGTGGCGCATCATCTCCAACGAGGAGAGTCTTGCACTGACCAACATGTACGACATCCGCGCGAGGCTGGGCGCGGACGGCTTTCTCCCGCAGGGCTCGCTCACGGCCCTCGCGGAGAGTATCGACGGTGTGGAGGCTGCCGAGGAGCGTCTCATCTCAAATACACAGGCGGAGGTCGACACCGCCGACGGCCCCATATTCGTGCGCGCCAGGATCATCGGCGTCGATTTGTCGGACGGTGGCCCCAGCGTGAACGGCGTCGAGCTCATCACGGGGCGGGAGATCGAGGAGACGGAATTCGGTGAGCCCGTCGTACTGATCGAGCGCAACTTCGGCGTCTTCTACGAGCTTCCCGACCAAGGAGAGCTTCGGCTTGGCGGTGACGTATCCCTTCGATATGTCGGACAGGCGGTATCCCCCGAATACTTCATAATCGTCGAGGAAGGCAATTTCGTCGGACAGGCAAACCTCGTCGTCGTCTTCACTTCGCTTGAGACCGCGCAGGAGCTGTCCGGCAGCTCGGGACAGGTCAACGACCTCGTGCTTACCGTCAAAGCCGGGACCGACCTGACGGACGTGGAGGCCGCACTTCTTGCCCAGACGTCGGAACGTCATCCCGGCACCAATCTCAAGCTGATGCGCCCGGAGGACGACGCATCATACCTCGCTCTCACCCAAGACCCTGAGGGCGACCAGCAGGTGTACAACGTACTGGCGCTGGTCCTGTTCGCCGGCGCGGCGTTCGCGGCATTGAACTTCGCGGCACGGATGGTGGAGACGCAGCGACGCGAGATCGGCACATCCATGGCGCTCGGAGTGAACCCAACGGCGATAGCCATGCGCCCCGTGCTCGTCGGGGTCCAGATCGCCATTCTCGGCGTGGTGTTCGGCGTAGGCATTGGGCTGCTGATTGGCAGGCTCATGGCCGGCGTGCTCGAGGCCTTCCTCACGCTGCCCGTCTTCATTACTCCCTTTCAGACGGGGATCTTTCTGAGGGTAGCCGCCATCGGCTTCCTGCTCCCGATTCTCGCCGTGCTCTGGCCCGTATTTCGCGCCACGCGCGTCAAACCCGTCGAAGCCATCAAGACAGGACATCTTGCCGCGCGCGGCGGCGGACTCGCACCGGTCATCAGCCGACTGCCCCTGCCGGGGAGCAGCCTCGGACGTATGCCCTTCCGCAACCTGCTGAGAGCGCCCCGTCGGACCTTCCTGACTCTGTTCGCCCTTACGGCCGTACTTGCCATCCTCTTCGGCATAGTCGGCATGAGAGATTCGTTCCTGTCTACGCTGGAAGAGGGCGATGAGGAGCTGCTCCGCGGTGTACCGGACCGGCTGACCGTACAGCTCGATTCCTTCTATCCCCTCGATTCGCCCGAGGTGAACAATGTCGTCAGCGGCGGCGCACTCGGCGTGGCAGAGCCGGGAATAACGATAGCTGCATCCGCCCACATGCTCGGCGAATCCGCGGAAACGAGTTTGGAGGCTGTAGACCTCGAAAGCGCTCAAGAGGTGCTCCACGGCATCGAGACCGGCGCCCTTCAGGTGAGCGTCCAGTTCATCGATTTCAAGGGCGACTTCTGGACTCCGTCCGTCTTGGAAGGGGCTCTGTCGGTCGACAAGCCCGGCATCGTCCTCGCCCGCAAGGCCGCCTCCGACCTCGGCGTTGGCGTCGGCGACGAGATCAAGCTGACACACCCCATACGGACGGGCCCGGGGGCCTTCGGAATCGAGGCAAGCACCATCCCCGTGATCGCCATCCATCCCCACCCGCTGCGCTTCTACGCCTACATGGACATTCGCCATGCCGGTCTTGCCGGCCTCGACGGATTCGCCAACACCGTCAGCGGGACGCCGGCCAAAGACGAGAACTTGTCCGACGTCAAACGGGCGCTCTTCGGCGCTCCCGCGGTATCTACGGTGCAGGGTCTGTCTGAATCGTTCGAAGCGACCTCGGAAATCTTCGAGCAGGTTTCGGCAATCTTCTTGATCATCGAGATATTCGTGATAGCCCTCGCCCTGCTGATCGCCTTTAACACCGCGAACATCAACTCGGACGAGCGCCACGCGACCACGCAACCATGTTCGCCTACGGCATACCGGTACGGAGGGTGATCGGCAATCTGGCCATGGAGGGCCTGGTTCTGGGCGTCCTCGCCGCCATCCTGGGTATCGTTCTCGGCTATGCCCTGCTCCTCTGGATGATCCTCTCATTGGTCCCCGCGAGCTACCCCGACATGGGCGTCATACTCACGATAAACATACCGGCGATGGCCGGCTTCCTTGGGGCAGGCATCGCGGTGGTCGCCCTTGCTCCGGCGCTCACCGTGCGCAAGCTTCAGAAGATGGACATACCCGGTACCCTGCGAGTGCTCGAATAGTCTTCTTTGCCCGTCCCGGCAGGGCAGGTGAGACAATTTGAGACGGTGAGACAGTTCGGGACACCTCCTCGAATTCCCCTTTTTTTCTCTTGTTCTCAATTTGTCTCGATCCGTTTCCCCCGATCCGTGCGTGGATTTTGAAGCTGTTTCGGCCACGCGCACACGTCAGACGATGTGGTGGTGAGACAGTTTGAGAATCTTTTGTATGACCGAAATTTCTTCGCCTTTGTTCTCAGTTTGTCTCGCACGATTTCGCGGGTCGGGGCGCGCAGCCCCAAAACCGTTTCTGCGACGGACACATCATAGACCATGTGTTCTTGTTCGTCAAAACGCCGAGATGATCCGTGTCTGTTCAGCGTTAGATAGAGGGACTTCCCCACACCGTTGTGGATACCGCATCGGTTGAACGGTCCATCAGAGACTCGTATAGTTGGAGTATAGTCAACCCTGATGGCAGCACTGTGACGGAGGACGCCTTGGCAGAGGAATTTGCGCATCCCGGAGCTATCGTGAGTACGGCATGGGTGGCGGAACGGCTGCGCGAACCGTCCGTCGTAGTTGCGGAGATCGACTCGCACCTGGACGAGACGTATGAGATCGGCCACGTACCCGGCGCGGTCGGATGGGGTTTGCACACGGACATGGAGCACCCTCTCCGCCGCGATATTCCCGACTTGGCGCAGTTCGAGGCACTGATGCGGCGGTCGGGCATCGAGCGGAATACGACGGTGGTGCTGTACGGCGACGGCAACAACCGCTCGGCGACGTGGGCCTTCTGGGTGATGAAATACTACGGGCACGACGATGTCCGCATCATGGACGGCGGACGAACGAAGTGGGTGCAAGAGGGCAGACCGTTCGAGATGGTGGAGCCTGCGGTGGAGCCGACGAAGTATCGGGCAGGCACCCCCGACCCTACCCTACGAGCTATGAAGGAGTACGTCGTCGAGAGCCTGGACCGGACTGGAGTCAAGCTACTCGACACACGCACGGTTGAAGAGTATGCGGGACAGCTAACTTCGGCCCCCGGCACGCCGCAGCCGGACATCTATCGGAAGGGACGGATCCCGGGCGCCGTGCACGTCGCATGGGACGACGGCGCGGACCAAGACGGCGCCTTCAAACCGGTCGACGAGCTTCGCACGATGTACTCGGAGGCCGGTATCGAGGCGTCGGACGAGGTCATCCCCTACTGCAGGCTGGGAGTGCGCGCGTCGTACAGCTGGTTCATCCTCAAGTACATTCTCGGCTTCGACAACGTGCGTGTCTACGACGGGTCGTGGACGGAGTGGGGCAACTCTGCGGGCGTACCGATCGAGACGGACGAGCCGGTCTGACTCCGCCGAACAACAAGGAGAAGCGCGTATGAGGCAGTGCGGCGTGTGCGGAACAGAGGGAGCCGAGGATGCGCGGTTCTGCCCGACCTGCGGGGGCGAGATGCGCCCCGCACCGGAGGGCGTCGATACCGGGGCGGAAGACACCTTCGAGGGCACCGACCGTGTGAGCTACTGCACCGAGTGTGGGGCCGTTTTGGATTCCGGGAACAGGTTCTGCGGCGCGTGCGGGGCAGGCGTCGGGGCGGCAGCGAGGGCTACTCCTCCGCGCGGACAGTCATTCCTCGACGACGCCGTTACAATGTCCACGCTCTGCCATCTCAGCACGTTGGCCTCATTCATCGTTCCCCTCGGCAACATCCTCGGTCCACTTGTGATCTGGCTCCTGAGAAAGGACCAACTGCCGCAGGTTGACATGCACGGCAAGGCGGCGCTGAACTTCAACATCAGCATCACCATCTACGGCGTCATCGGCATCGCTATCAGCTTGGCGCTGATGCTAGTGCTTATAGGCTTCCTGCTCATCTTCGTTGTGTTGCCGCGATCTTTGTGTGGTGGATGGTCGCGACCGTCGTGGCAGCGGTAAAGGCCGGTAGTGGCGAGTTCTGGGAATATCCTCTGACCATCCGATTCCTACGGTGAGCGTGGAAGGTCGGCGCTCCGAGCGCCTCGCCCTGTTGAATACTGCCCGTCCTTGAGCAAATCGAGTGCCCGTGATAGGCTACCGCGCACTCCGATTTCGGGTATGTGCGCCGATGACCGTAGGGCGGATAACGAGAGCAGGGAGCCGATCACCTGGGGCAAGGTCATCGACAACCGCAAGTGCATCGGCTGTCATGCCTGCACCGTCGCGTGCAAACAGGAACACGACGTTCCCCTGGGCGTCAATCGCACGTACGTCAAGCAGGTCGAGGTCGGGAGATACCCGAACGTTCGCCGGCACTTCCAGGTCACCCGCTGCAACCAGTGCGCCGACGCGCCGTGCGTGGAGATATGCCCCACGACGGCGATGTTCCAACGCCCCGACGGCATAGTGGACTTCGACCGCTCGCGGTGTATCGGCTGCCAGGCGTGTATGGCGGCGTGTCCATACGACGCCATCTACATCGATCCGGTGTCGCACAGCGCTGAGAAGTGTAACTTCTGTACGAATCGGATCGACCGAGGACTCCAACCCGCCTGCGTAACGGTCTGCCCTACGCAGGCGATTTTTGTTGGGAACCTCGAAGACCCCATGTCGAACGTCTCGAACCTCATCGCCAGGGAGAAGGTCGAGGTACGCCGGCCCGAGAAGAACACCAATCCAAAGCTCTTCTACGTCGACGCAACCGGCCCGACGCTCGACCCGACCGCGGCATCGTTCAAGGGCTACTTCAGCCAGTCGCAGCCAATCGACACACAGGTAGCTCCCGGCAGGCCGTCGTCCACAAGCGCCAACGACCCGACATCCAGCCACGCGGCGGCCATCCTCGCGTACGACAACCCGCATCGCGCCCCACTGGAACTGGATCGTCTCGGCGTACACGTGGACGAAATCGATCTCGGCGGGACTGGTCATGGTGGTCGCGGCGCTCGGACTCCTCCGATACGACCTGGGGAGCAACGTGGAGCTGGCGGCGGTCGTCGCCGCGGTAGTCCTGCTGACGGTCACGGCGGGCTGCTCGTGCTCGACCTGCACCATCCTGAACGGTTCGTGTATACGCTGCTGAAGCCGCAGTGGAGGTCGTGGGTGACGCGCGGTGCGTACATCATCACGGCATACGGCGCGTTTCTCATGGTCTACGCGGCGGCGGTGCTCGCGGACGCAGGCGGCGGACTCATCACCACAGTGCGCGTCGTCGGAGTCTCCTCGCCCTCGCGGCAGGTGTATACACGGCGTTCCTGTTCGGCCAGGCCAAGGGGCGCGACCTGTGGCAGGATCCCGGACTGCCTGCACACTTCGTTGTCCGCACGGCCCTCGCCGGGATCGCGGCACTGAGTCTCATAGTCGTTTTGAGCGGGGTGAACGTGCACGGCGGAACGTTCTACTGGGATCCTTCTCGTGCGCTGGTCCTGCACGGCGTGTTCATGGTTGGACACGCGGCGAGAAGTCGCGCGGGTACATCCCAGGCAACTAGGAACATGGTGCGAGGGAGATTTCGTGCCTACTTCTGGACCAGCCTCCTGATCGGCGTGGCAGTTCCGTTCGCGATCATCATGTTAGACGCCATGGCGTACATATGCTACGGCCGATTGAACGAGGATGGCGCTGCGCTCTGATCTACTTCTCAACTGGCGCTCAGTGGCGGTAGCGGCCGTCATGGCCCTCGTCGGCCTCGCGCTGTACGAGCACGCTTACGTTCAGGCGGGCCAGTCGGTACCGCAGAGTTAGAAACATGACATCAACCGCTCACATACCTCTCGAACACCTGCACACGCCCGCGGGCGGGGCCTGGCGAGCTTCCCGCCTCCCGAGGAGTGGGACGACTGGGTGGACTACGGCCCAAACGACCTGCCGGACAGCGAGGAGCGCCACTACGCCCTCGTGCCGACGGTATGCTTCAACTGCGAGGCGGCGTGCGGACTGCTGGCCTACGTCGACAAGGAGAGCCTCGACATCCACAAGATCGAGGGTCACCCGCTGCACCCCGGCAGTCGTGGGCGGAACTGCCCGAAGGGTCCCGCCACCCTCAACCAGGTCAACAACCCCGACCGCATCCTGAAGCCCGCTCAAGCGCGTGGGCGACCGCGGCGAGGGCCAATGGGAAGAGGTGACGTGGGACGAGGCGCTGGACGATATCGCCGGGCGTATCCGCGCTGCCATCAAGGAGGACAGGCGCGATCGGCGTGGTCTACCACGTGGGGCGTTCGGGCGAGGACGGGTACACCGAGCGAGTCATCGCGGCATGGGGTGGACGGCCACAACTCGCACACCAACGTATGCTCGTCGTCGGCGCGCGCGGGCTACTCCTTCTGGATGGGCATGGACCGCCCGAACCCCGACTACGAGCACGCGAAGTTCATCCTGCTCATGTCGTCGCACCTCGAATCGGGCCACTACTTCAACCCGCACGCACAGAGGATCATCGACGCCAAGCTGCGAGGCACCAAGGTCGCGGTGGTGGATACGCGGCTATCCAACACGGCGTCGCAGGCCGACATCTGGCTCTCGCCGAGTCCCGGCACCGAAGCGGCCATGCTGCTCGCCATGGCGAACCACCTGATCCAAAACGACCTGTTCGACGCCGAGTTCGTGCGGCGGTGGGTCAACTGGCAGGACCTCCTGGAAGACTGGGCCTACCTCGATTTCCTGAAAGCGGACGGCGCGATCGAGGCCGTCCCGAAGGGCGAGTCGTTCGGTGACTTCGTGGAGCTGCTCAAACAGATGTACTGGGAGTACACGCCTGAGTGGGCGAGGAGGAGTCGGGCGTGCCAGCGGAGGCCATCGTGGCGGTCGCCGACGAGATCGCCCGCGCGGGAACGGCGTTCGCCTCACATATCTGGCGCAACGCTGCGCAGGGCACCTCGGCGGGTGGATGATCACGCGCTGCCTGTTCTTCCTCAACGTGCTGACAGGCTCGGTCGCCACCAAGGCTGGGACCATCCCGAACGGCTGGACGAAGTTCGTGCCCAAGCCGCACACGATACCCTCGCCCATAAGACGTGGAACGAGAACCACTGGCCGCTGGAGTTCCCCCTCGCCCACTTCGAGATGAGCTTCCTGCTCCGCACATCCTCAAGGACAACGGCAAGAGCATCGACGTGTACTTCACCCGCGTGTACAACCCGGTGTGGACGAACCCGGACGGCACGGCGTGGGTGGAGATGCTGGAGGACGACCGCATCGGCCTGCACGTGGCGCTGACGCCGGTGTGGAGCGAGACGGCGCAGTGGGCGGACTACGTGCTGCCGACCGGGCTGGGGCCGGAGCGGCACGACCTCCACTCGCTCGAGACGCACGCCTCGCAGTGGATCGGATGGCGGCAGCCCGTCATCCGCGCGCTCAAGGAGAAGCTGGGCCACGACATTAACGACACCCGCGACGCCAATCCCGGCGACGTGTGGGAAGAGAACGAGTTCTGGATCGAGCTGTCGTGGCGTATCGACCCGGACGGCTCGATGGGCATCCGGCGGCACTTCGAGTCCCCCTTCCGACCCGGCGAGAAGATCGGCGTCAACGACTACTATCGCTACATCTTCGAGAACGGCGTTCCGGGACCTGCCGGAGAAGGCGGCAGAGGAGGGCCTGACGCCGTTCGAGTACATGCGGAAGTACGCCGCGTTCGAGGTCACGACCGACGTGTACGACGAGCACGAGTGTCCGGTCGACGAGAGCATCTTGAACGACCCTCTCATCATCGACGAGGACACCGGCCTCATCTGGTGCGCGCAGCCCGGCGGGGACGCGAACAACCGGCCTTATCCGGGGCCGTTCCGCGACGAGAGCGGGAAGATCCGCATCGGCATCGAGATGGACGGGAGGCGGCTGATGGGGTTCCCTACGCCGTCCGCCCGGCTGGAGTTCTTCTCGCCGACGCTCAAGGAGTGGGGATGGCCCCAGTACGCGGTCCCGCGCTACCCGCGCGACGAGGCCGAGCGCGAACGCATGGAGCACATCGTCAGCCAGGTGCATCCCTCGAAGCTCGACCACGACGCGAACGAGTACGACCTTCTGCCTACGTTCCGGCTGCCGAACCTGATCCACAGCCGCACCAACGGGGCGAAGTGGCTCTACGAGATCGCTCACACCAACCCCGTGTGGACGAACCCCATCGACGCGCGGCGCATGGGCGTGGAGACGGGCGACCTCGTCAAGGTGGAGACGGAGATCGAGTCGTTCGTCGACCGCGTGTGGGTGACCGAGTCGATCAGGCCCGGCGTCGTGGCGTGCTCCCACCACATGGGCCGGTGGCGCCGGTTCGAGGAGCACGGGAGCGACCGGTGGAACTCCGCCGTCGTCGACCTTTCCAAGGACGGGACGAGTGGAACATGCGACAAAACAGGGCGTCACGACGTGGAAGTCGTCAGACCCCGACTCCGAGCGGCTGTGGTGGTCGGACGGCGGCGTGCACCAGAATCTCATTATGCCGGTGCAGCCCGACCCGATAAGCGGTCAGCACTGCTGGCACCAGAAGGTGCGCGTCACGAAGGCGGGCCCCGACGACAAGTACGGCGATGTAAAGGTCGACTCGGAGAAGGCCCACCAGGTGTACAAGCGCTGGCTCAAGCTCTGCCGTCCTGCTCCCGGCCCCGACGGCACGCGCCGCCCGTACTGGCTGCTCCGTCCCATCAAGCCCACGCCGGAGGCGTTTCGGGTTATGAGACACTTTGAGACGGATAGACATTTGTACGCCCGTCCGAATCCCTTTTTTTTTCTCTTTCTTTGATATTGCTCAATTGTCTCACTCAAGTTCGCCCGTCCGGCGGGGTGTTTGAAGCTGTTTTGGGGACGAGCGCACGGCAGACGACGCGGTCGTGAGACGGTTTGACGATGAGACATTTTTGAGGACCCTTCACACCTTCCCCCCCTTTCTTTCGTTTCGTTCTCATTGTGTCTCACAGGGTTTCGCGGGTCGGGGCATGCCTGCGGGAAGCCGTTCCTGTGACGCACGTAGGATAGCTCATACGTTCTTGTGCGTCAGTTGAGGGAGAGAAAGTAGAACGCATTGCGTCGAGGTCGCCCTCCCATCCGATCTCGAGCGAACGGACTTCATCGACAGAGGCGGGTCGGCAGCCAGCATCCGCAGCGCAAGGTTGATCGCCTCGCGCGCTTGGTGGCGAGCCGGTAACGCCGCATGACCTCGGCGCACGCCTTATCGTCAATGTCTACGTTGATGCGTGTCATACGTCTAGCGTACACCTTCGAGGTGAGGATCGACAAAGGCACGACCGGACCTCACCGCCGGTACCACGGCTGCTCTGACGATCAAGCCCGCGCCCGAGAGCGCTTCGGATGTGCGCGGGGCAGTAGTCCAATGTCCCTATTAGGCTGAGACCTAACGTCTTTTTTGGCCTACGGCGGGCGGCATCAGCAGATTCGTCAGGTACCTCCAGTCCGACGTTTCGCCTACTGGAAAATGGTGATACATCGGGTTTGGTACCCTGGACCTCATCTCGCGAATGTCGCAGTTCTAAATCATCCAGTCAGGCATTTGGAGGCAAGATGAACACTCTGGCCCAGAGGAGATCCGTCTCTACGGCAACCAGACCTACGTCCGTCGACGACATAGATGATGCTCTGAAAAGGAAGAGGAAGACTGTACCGCGAGCTAGCTCGAGAACCAGCTATGGTGTAGATTTCGACGTTGCTGGAATCGGTAGGCGCCTAAATGAAGAGGTACATCACATTCCGGATGGCAAGGAGCTTGTCTGGACCATCAAAACGGCCATCGCAAAGTTCGTAGAGTCGCTCTTGCTAGGTCTTCCCGTTCCGGGGTATGTATGGGCACTGACCCTGACACTAGACAACTATACGTAATAGAGCGGACACAACGGCTACGAACCCTTCCGGGCTTCCTACCAAGGAAACGTCCTAACCTAAGAACATCAACCGTCCATTCGAGTTAGCACACGTAATTGATCGTTTCAAGGGACTAGCCTACCAAGATCTGCGTGACGCGGATCGCCGTAGCCTCGCCAATTCTCTGATTCATGCAACAATCGTCAGACAAGAAGAACCGAAGGGTGACGACACTAGCATGCACCAGATCTTCAAGCGCTCATAGCGGAGGGAGGCAAGTCAACCCCCATGAAATCAGATGTGCCGTTCCCAAGGTATGATCTGATCGATAGGATAAGGAACTAAATGAAAACGAAGACTGCGAAAACAGCGTCGTGCTCCAAGTCGCGCGCCTAAAGACCAGGAACTTATCCTTAGATTATGGCATTCTACCTGAAGGACAACATGACACCAGAACGCTGTCCGAGTTCCTTGAGGTGTTTGCTCAACACAAACAGGATTCTGACGACGCATGGATACGAACACTTCCAACTGTTTGAGGAAACACCCGTAGAGCGTTCGCTCAAGCCAAAGGGAGGGAATCCCTCGACTCAAACCGATGGACGAGTATCAAGCTGCGGTTTTCGATCGAGTGTCAGTAGGTCTAGCGAAACGGATCGAACGACAGTGTCACGAGAAGATAGGTCGTTCGGGAGTTCACGACAACTCATAGACGATACCATTACTAAAAAGGTAACACAGGCCACATCAGAGCGATGCTTCGGTGGGCAAGTCGATTAGAACTGACGACGAACGCATCGCGGATGCGTACCATAAGGTCAACTAGAGCTTCTGGACTCCGCCGACTAATGAACTAACTGCGTCAGGCGACACAAGACATCAGCCTTCAGGACATGGGCAGCTACCTTTGTGTCATGACTGCTGGCTTTTTGGAGTCCAGCTTCAAACCATGTACGCCGACTCGCGGCGAGCTCTTCGAGTCCACATGTTTCGCAGTTCGTATCTCGGAGCCTCGGACGAATATCCAACCCAATGCCGATCGGTTTCTCAAACTGCCGGAGCGTTCAGCACAGACATGGCAAGAGGACTGGACGAATTCTTCTTGCATGATCCCGACTTGTGCGGAAGGGGGCAAGCAACTCGATCATGAGTACGAGGCACAAAACCCCATTGCGCATGGTGAGTCGGTAGGATACACCTGCAGAGTTAAGGAGTATCTAGATTCGGAGCGTGGAAGTGCTGGATCATCATCGAGGCCATATGCATGGCGTGATGATACTCGTGTTTTGAATTGCATGTGACAATGGTAGTCTTGTTTCGCGTTTCCTAGAAAACGTTCGATGTTATGTTTGCACAAACTTGCTGGGATGAGTCTCTCACGCACGCATTGCGAACTGTACAAAGTAAATCTTCTATTTCGCACTGGAAAATGCAACCGAATGCAAACAAGAACGCAACATTTCGAGCTTTCCGCCGCTGCTGTGACTTTGTCGGGCCTCCCGGCGACAGCCTCATGAGTCGCGCCTAACTCCCCTCCGAACTGGAAGAAGTCGAAAACCTTCATTCGCCGGACACAATAGACACAGAAACCTGAGATTACTCGTGGGCGGTCGATTTGGGTTCGTTCAAGCGAGTTCGGATTTGCTAGACAGTAGCGTGCCCCACAACAGCCTACCGGAGAGGTTGGGGCCGCTGGGAACGGGCGTGGCGCGCAACCCAGGAACGGGACCCTGCTACCCCGTCCGGATCTAAGCTGGCCCAACCCGGACGATCAAGTGGGCCTAGTAAGATTGAATTGCGAACCTTTAGGTGGGAGGTCTCGATATGAGGAAGGGGTCAGTCAACGCCTCATACACACTCACGAGCCTCCGGACCTGTTGCCCAATACAATCGACTCGACGGCCGGTTTGCCCGCTGTGTCAGGGAGCGAAAGCGCCGCGCAGGACTACCGGAACGTGAGCACTTCGGCAGGGTTGGAGACCAGGATGTCGTGGACACCCTCAGGAGTGAAGCCCCTGTACAGCATCCTGGGAGCTATGTGGTCCAGTATGTACGAGTAGCCGTGGCCGCCGAACTTCTCCAGACGGTGCTTCGTGCATATGTCCTGCGCCACGACGACTTTGCGGCCGTAGCCTTCGGACGATATCCAGGCGATGCGCTCAAGGCGCTGGTCGTCGCTCGGCATGTCGATGTTCAGGTTCGTGGAGTAGTACGACCCGACCCAGCCGAACAGGTCCCACTCCATGTAGCAGCCCGACTCAGCGATCTGTTTGAGCGTACCGCGTTCGAAGACCGTCCTGTCGAGGTGGCCCATGATCGTATGCGACAGGTCGGCCCCGGCCCGATCCAGGATATCGATGATCTCAAGTGGCGCCGTCTCGTCCCTGCCGGGATGTATGAGTAGCGGTGCGCCGGTCATGCGCTGTGCGCGCGCCGATGCCTTCAGCACCTTCCGTTCGTTGTCCGTCAGGGGCCAGTCGCAGCCGACCTCGCCTATGATGCCGGATCTTATACCAGTCCCCTCGGCCCCTTCGGTGATGTCCCCTACTATCAGGTCGACGATATCGTCCTCTGTCAGGTCGTCCATCCCCGGCGGGTGATGCGTGTTCACATAGTATGAAGCGCCCATCACGATATTCACGCCCGTGGCGTTGGAGACCCTGGCAAGGCCAATCGGGTCGCGGCCTATTCCGATGCTCGACACCTCGACCAGCGTGCCCCCGCCATACTGCTTGAACAGCCCAACCTCTTCGATGGCCGTCTGGATGTCCTCAAGCCGTCCATTGTCTCGGTTCTCCTTCAACCGGTGCCGTATTTTGCCGAGAATCTCCTGGGAGACCGGCTTCTCATAGAAGGCCTGGTCGCTCGCGCTTGGGAACCACGTTTTGACCCAGGAGCCGTCGAATAGGATGTGCTCGTGGGTAAGCGTCCTGCCAAGTTGACCGGGATCGACCGGCCCGAGTACGGTCTGCACCCTCCCGGACAGGTCATTGCTGGTCATGGTTGCCCCCATACTCTCTGTTGGGCGACCGGATGTCGCCGGGGCGCAGGGAGGAGACCCCCTGAGACCCCAAAGCGTTGCTGCTGGATGTCGTGGGGGCGCATGGACCCCCCTTGCAAGCGCACGGAGCATGTTTGCAAATCGTTTGCATGGGCCTGTGTTTTCTGTCCAAACCTACTCATACCTCTAACCCCACGGGGGTCTTACCAATTGAACCACTTATGAGCTTGTTTGTTAAGTAGAGCGCCAGACGAGGGAAGTGCAAGACTCGTCAGGGGGCCGACGTGTACTGAAGCTAGCACCGTATTCGAGATGTGGCTGGGCCTGTGAACCTACCGGAGCCCTCGGCTCAACCATTATGGTGCCGTAGGGCTGAGGGGCGCAAGACGCTCCATCAGGATTGGGTTTCACCAGTCTCGCCGGGAGGAGCTCAGCTAACTCCAAGGGGGTGAATGGCGTGGCAAGGTTCAGGCCAAGATGTGGGTGGAAGCTGTCGCCTCGAATCCGGGAAGGCGGGTGTAGTCGCCGGTCGGTCGCCCTCGCGGCCCCCGACCTTAGTCGCCGGTGTTGTCATTGCCTATCGGCTTGTACGTAACGGGGATGAAGTGCAGGACGGCAACCACTATGAAGGCCAGTGCGGTCAGATAAGCGCCTATCCCGAAAAGCAGCGCTATGCCGGCTTCCCGCGCTTCTGCCGAGTCGGTTGCCTGGGCGATGTACGCCATCGCGAGGATGGTCACCACCAGCCCAGCGATACCCACGATGATGGGCACCACCCGGGGCAGGACCACTGACGCCAGGCTCAACCCAGCCTACTCCCCCTTAACGTGAGTCGAGAGTTCCGTTCGGCGGGAGCTATTCGCCGATCCTCGCGTTCCGGGAACCCTAGCGCCTCAGTGTGGCTACGGCGGCGGCCAGGAGCGCTACTGAGTACACGGCGAGGGCGGCCAGGTTGGACCACAGCGCCGTCAGGTCGGTGCCGCGCAGCATGATCTCGCGAAGGGCATCGACGGCGTATGTGAGAGGAAGCACGACCGAGAGCCACTCGAAGAGCTCGGGCATCTGCTCGACGGGAATTATCACTCCGGACAGGAATATCTGCGGCGCGAGAACGATGGGGATGAACTGGACTACTTGGAATTCGTTGCTGGCAAAGCTGGATATGAATATGCCCAGGCTGACGGCGACGGTGACCACCAGGAAGAGTATCGCTCCGATCTCCCAGAGGGTTCCGACGTATTCGATGCGGAGGGCGAAGATGGTGAATGCAAGAATGACGGCTGTCTGCACGATGGCGAAGATGAGGAAGCCGATCATGTAACCGAGCATGATGTCGAAGCTGCCCACGAGCGTGGTCTGGAGGCGTTCGAGCGTTCCCTGCGCGCGCTCCCGCAGGAATCCGACGCCGGTCAGGATGAAGGTGAAGAACATCACGAATACCGCGAGCAGGCCGGGGGCGACACGGTCGAGCACGGCGCGCTGCTCGTACAGGCTGAAGCCGACGAGCGACATGACAATGAGCGGGCCCACGATGAGAAGCCGATGGAGCGTCTGTCGCGCAGTATCTGACGGATGATCCGCTCGGTGATGGCGAGTACTCTGTCGGTCGACATCAGTCGTTCGACCCGCGGAGAAAGTGCATGAACGCGTCCTCGAGGGTGGCGTCGGGTTGTCCGGTCGCCGCGCGGAGGGCAGAGGGAGTGTCGAGGGCGATCACTCTCCCGTCTCTGAGGAACGCGAGGCGGTCGCAGTGGGCGGCGTCATCCATCGTGTGACTCGAAATCATGATGGTCGCGCCCACTCGGCCATCCGCCTGAATCGTTCCCAGAAGACGGCCCGGACATCGGGGTCGAGTCCGACCGTGGGTTCGTCGAGAATCAACAGACCCGGACGGTGGACGAGTGCTATCGCGAGGCTGACCCGCTGTCGCATGCCCCCACTGAGTTTGAGAATCGGGTCGGAGCTTCGTGGACCCAGGTCCACGAGGGAGATCGCCTCTTCGACTGATCGGGCACGTGACTGGCGGTCCGACATGCCGTACATCCTTGCGAAGAAGTCGACGTTTTCCTGACGACAGCTCCAGATAGAGTGCGCTGACCTGGGGCATGTAGCCGACCATTGCCGCCTGACGGGGCGATGGGGACTCGCCGTGGATGGTGATTGTCCCGCCGTCACTGCGGAGCAGGCCGACCATCACCCTCATGAGAGTCGTCTTGCCGGAGCCGTTTGCTCCGAGCACCCCGAATATCTCCCCTTCCGACACGGAAAGCGAGAGGCCGTTCAATACCTGGATGTGCCGTAGCTGAACGTGAGATCACGAGCTTCGACTACGGCGGCGGCTTGCGTCATGGGAGTGTGGATGCCCTACTGAGTGTGCCGCACAAATGTACGTGCTTGGGGAAAGGTACACAGCACAAATCCTATGGGACAAGCCCCGCAATCCCGACGACGCTCGTTTCCAAGAGGGAAGGCGTGGGTTTTTTTTGTTTGTTTTTTTTTGTTTTTTTTCTATTTACCGTATCGTAGTTTTTTTGTTTTTTTTGTTTTTGTTTTTTTTGTTTTTTTTTTTTTTGTTTTGTTGTTTTTTGTTTTTTTTTGTTTTTTGTTTTGTTTTTTGTTTTTGTTTTTTTTGTTTTTGTGTTTTTTGTTTTTTGTTGTTTTTTTTTTTTGTGTTTTTTTTTTTTTTTTTTTTTTTTTTTTTTTTTTTTTTTTTGCACCCTGTGAGTGTTCACTCCGGTACGCGCACGGGACAGACGAGGACAAATCTCACTCCCGACTGCGATACCCTACGAGCGCGGCATCCCCATCGTCGCTCGTGTATTCTTTCGGCTTCGTCGGCAGGAGGTCACATGTTGCCCGATGCCAGACCCGCTAGAGGAGTAGACGATGACGAGTCGACCTCCGAACATGACTGAATAGCGGCAGTCGCGGCGGCGTTGAAGGAGGGCGACGGAGGCGCTCGGCAGTTGGCTGGGGATACCGACCCTTGGCAGTGGAGGCCATCGCCGCGGACTGCGAACTTTGGACTGGATACTCTCGACATGGAGCACGGCGGCGCGGGCTGGGAAGACCTCAAGATGGTGATGCTGGGCTGGAAGTGGTCGGATGTGCCGCTGTTCATCCGTCCCCGTCGCACGACCAGAAGTTCCTGATGGCGGCGCTCGACCTTGGGGTGAGCGGGTTCGTGGTGCCGTTCGTCAACTCGCCGGAGGACGCGAGGCGGGTCGCGGAGGCCTGCAGGTACCCGCCGATGGGCATTCGAGGCAGTGCGCCGCGCCGCGTCAGCCGCCACTACACGCTGACCGACGAGTACAAGGCCAGCGCCGACGATGACGTGTTCGTGATGGTGCAGATCGAGCACAAGGACGCCGTGGAGAGCGTCGAGGAGATCGCCGCCGTGCCCGGCATAGACGCGCTCTTCATCGGCCCGGCGACCTGAGTTATCGTATGGGCTGCCGTTCCAGTTCGACCACCCGACGATCGGACGCGGTCCAGAAGGTCGTGACACGGGCAGGGCCAAGGGCCTCCCGGTCGCCATGGCGGTCGACAGCACGCCGGAAGAGGTGCTGCAGCGCATCGAGCAGGGCATCCAGCTTGTCACGGTGGGCCTCGACTGGATGTTCATGCGCAACGCCATCAAGGAGCAGACGGCCGCGGTGCGGGCGCTGCTGTAGCGGCCCTTCTCCGCTCATGACCGTGGGCCTCCGCACAGTCACGCTTGCTGTATAATTCGACCTGCCATGCCGAACACGCTCTACTATGGTGACAACCTCCCGGTACTACGGGACTATCTTGCCGACGAGTCGGTGGACCTCATCTACCTCGATCCGCCCTTCAACTCCAATGCCTCCTACAACGTCCTGTTCAAAGAGCAGTCCGGCGAGCGGTCCGCAGCGCAGATAACCGCCTTTGAGGACACGTGGCGCTGGGGATGGGAGTCGGAGACCGCATATGGGGAAGTGGTCAGGGCAGGACCGCAGCCGCGCAGCAGAATGGTCCAGGCCATGTTTGAGTTTCTGGGGCGGAACGACATGATGGCCTACCTGGTGATGATGGCGCAGAGGATGATCGAGTTGACGCCGCGTCCTCAAGCCTACGGGCAGCATCTACCTGCATTGCGATCCGACTGCGAGCCACTACCTCAAGCTGCTGATGGACGCAACGTTCGGAGCCAAGAATATCCTGAACGAGATCATTTGGTACTACCGTGGGGCAGGAATTCCCAAGGGGTCCCGCGCAAGACGTCACGACGTCATCTTGTGGTACGCAAAGGAGACCGAACGCCACTACTTCAACCCCGATCCTATTCGGACAGCCTATGCAGAGGCGACTGTAGAAGGTTCGACCATGTACATAGGAAAGTTCGAGGTGATCACGACTATGGACGGAAGCAGCTCAATCCAATGGGCAAACACCCGGATGACGTCTTAACCCACATACAGCCGATCGCTCCTTCGGCAAAGGAACGGCTCGGCTATCCCACACAGAAGCCCGAAACGCTCTGGAGAATCTTATTAGTTCGGGGAGTAAAGAGGGTGACGTGGTGCTTGACCCCTTCTGCGGGTGCGGCACCGCGGTCGCAGCCGCCGAACGCCTAAACCGTAGGTGGATTGGCATTGATATCACGCATCTTGCCGTAACCTTGATACGCCACCGGCTGCGTGACGCCTTCGGCGACAACCTGCAGCCTTACGACGTGATGGGAGAACCACAAGACGTGGCAAGCGCTGCTGCCCTTGCGCGTGAAGATCGTTACCAGTACGAATGGTGGGCGCTGGGACTCGTGGATGCGAGACCAGCCCAGGACAAGCGTAAGGGGGCCGACTCGGGCATAGACGGTTACATCAATTTCTTTGACGACAGCCGAAAGGCCAAGCGTGTCATCGTGCAGGTCAAAAGCGGCAACGTGGGCGTGTCCCAGATCAGGGACTTGAAAGGTGTGCTTGAAAGAGAAACGCTCCTATCGGTGTGTTTATCACCCTGAAGGACCCGACAGGCCC